TCATCCTCAGCAGCATCATCTTCACCATCATCAGCATCAGCAGCATCATCAATATCGCCATCATCATCAGCAGCATCAGCCTTATCGCCATCATCATCACCATCACCAACACCACCATCATCACCACCACGGCCATCATCATCATCAACATCGTCATCATCATTAATATCGTCATCAGCATCATCGTCGTCAGAAGCATCATCATCATCATCAGCAGCATGCTCATCAACATCAGGATCACCAGCAGCAGCAGCATCATCATCACTATCATCATCATCGTCATCATAATCATCACCAGCATCATCATCACCAGCATCAACATCAGCATCAGTATCATCATCAGCAGCAGCAGCGTCATCATCAAAATCCCCCTCCTGTGCTTCCTCCTCCTCCAGTGGTTCATAATCCTCTTCCTCCTCCACTTCTTCCTCTTCGTCTCCCTCCTCCTCCACCGCCTCCTTCGCCTCCTCATCCTCCTCCTCAACCTCCTCCTCCTCCTCGTCGTCCTCCTCCTCCTCCTCCCTCGTGTCCTCTTCCATCTCCTCCCTCGTCCCACCTCCTCCAACTACCCCTCATCTTCCCTCGTCCTCCCTCCGCCTCCTCCTCCTCCTCCTCCTCTCCTCATCCTCCTATTCCCCCTCCTCCTCCTCCTCCTCCTCCTCCTTCTCCTCTTTCCTTCTCCTCCTCCCTCCACCATATCCCCCCGTCCTCCCTCCTCCCTCCTCCACCCTCGCTCCTCCCTCCTCCCTCCTCCTCCTCGTGCTCCAACCTCCCTCCATCCTCCCCTGCCGCCGACGACGACGACGACGACGACGACGACGACGACGACGGCGACGGCGACGGAGGCGGCGATCACCACGGCGCTGAGGGCGGAAGGCGGCGGCCGCCTCCGCTCGAGGAGCCCCGCACCGCCGCCGGCGCCGGCCACCGCCGAGGCCACCGCGTGCTGCGGCGCGCGGCCGCGCCCGCAGGGGGCCTGGCGGTTTGGGAGGCGTTCTGTTTATCCTGCGTAGCAGTGTTCTGCAGCTCGGGTGCGTTGTTCATGTTCAAGGCGTTCCTTTGCAAGCTCATCGTCTTCGGCACCGCCTGATTCCGGGGCTTTGCCCCCTCCTGGCCTTGACGTGAGGCCCCTCCTTCTGCCCCTCCTCTTTGTTAATTCATGCTGTGCGCGGCCCGCTTAGCTTCGACCGGAAGAGGTGCGCTCTCGACCCGCGAATCCAAACAAGTTTTATGATCTTGCGCAGCAGTGTTCTGCAGCTCGGACCCCCTGGCAGCCGAACATGAGATCAAAGAAATTGCCATCTGAGGAGCCTGGGCCTGCTCCCCGGAGGTTTCGTAGACAACAGGCCTGGGCCAAGTTCTGCCGCTCATGCTGAAGGGCGCGAGTGCTCAAGAAACTGGACCAGTTTTCCGGCAAGTTGGCTCAAGAAAGCTGGCCCAGCTTTTCGGAGGGAGGTTCACTGATCAGATTCATGTCGGGCGTGTCCCCCTACAGGGGGATTTTCGACGAAAAATAAAACATATTCCAAACATACTCCAAATTGGTAGTAAAAAAACAAAATTGTCCCCATACTATTTTTGACTATTTTTGAATATTCCCCCTGTAGGGGAACAGGCCCGCCTCAACATCAGATGCTCGACTGTACTTTCCTCGTGCTCCGTTCGCTCGCTCGTCGCCCCCCCGGGCCTCCCCTGCCCCTGCAGCCTCACGATGGCCACGGTGCCCATCCAGGAGAACACCAGGGTGGCCCCCAAGAACGACCCCCCCCCCCTCGCCCCGCCACGCCCGGGCCTCACCCCCCCTCGTGCAGGAGCCAGGGCAGGCGTGCCGCTCGCTCTGGGCTTCGACATCTGGCCGAAGGACGGGAGAGGTCGGGGGGTCCGGGTCCCGTCCGGCGCTCGGCCGATGGGCTTCCATCCGTCGCGCAGGCAGCCTGGGGGTGGGGGGGGTCCTGGCCAGTCGCCGAACGCAGACGCCCAGAGCAGGCAAGATCTGGTCTAGGGGGGGAGGGAGGAGGAAGGAGGATGAGGAGGAGGAGGAGGAGGAGGAGGAGGAAAGAGGAGGAGGAGGAAAGAGGAGGAGGAGGAAAGAGGAGGAGGGAGAGGAGGAGGGAGGGAGGGGGGAGGGAGGGAGTCAGGGAGGGAGGAGGGAGGGAGGGAGGGAGGGAGGGAGGGAGGAGGAGAGGAGAGGGGAGGAGGAGGAGGAGAGGAGGAGGAGGAGGAGGAGGAGGAGGATGGGGGGGCCGGGCCCCGCGCCGATCGGCGAAATGATGTGTGAAAAACAGCCACATCACGGTCGGGAGCTGCTGCTCGGCGCGTCGAAGCGGCGGCACGGGCGACACGCCATGCCCTGCGAGCGGCGGGTGTGTCGCTGCGCTCCGCGGGGCGGGGGGCCAGCAGGAGGAGGAGGAGGAGGAAGAGGAGGAGGAAGAGGAAGAGGAGGAGGAGGAGGGGGAGGAGGGGGAGCAGGAGGAGGAGGAGGAGGAGGAGGAGGAGGAGGGGGAGGAGGAGGATGGCTGGGAAAGGCTCGGCAACTTGACGCTCGGGGACCAGGACGTGGATAGCGCGTCGCGCCGAAGCGTGGTGGACCAAAACCGGCGGCGCGGCGCGCCGACCACGAATTCCTGACCGTCGTATTCGCCGTTCGATACGGGGGGCGTCGTGGTCATCGTCGTCGTCGTCATCCTCGTCGTCGTCATCGTCGTCGCCCACCACGACCCCGATCACCATCAGCAGCAACATCATCGCCCAAACAGTCATCATCGCCGCCGCCATCAGCACAGCACAATCATCATCATCATCATCATCATCATCATCATCATCATCATCATCATCATCATCATCATCATCATCATCATCATCATCATCATCATCATCAGCATCATCATCATCATCATCATCATCAGCATCATCATCCTCATCATCAGCATCAGCATCAGCATCAGCATCAGCATCAGCATCAGCAGCAGTATCAGCATCAGCAGCATCATCCTCCTCATCATTATCATCATCAGCAGCATCATCAGCACCATCATCATCAGCATCATCAACAGCAGCATCAGCAGCATCATCCTCATCATCACCATCAGCAACACCACCATCATCATCAGCAGCAGCATCAGCAGCATCATAATCATCACAAACATCATCATCATCATCATCATCATCATCAGCATCATCATCATCATCATCATCATCATCATCATCATCATCATCATTACCACCACCATCATCATCACCACCACCACCATCATCATCATCACCATCATCAGCATCATCATCATCATCATCAGTGGCACCACTATCATTAGCATCATCATCAGCAACATCATTATCGTCATCGTCGTCGTCATCAGTACCATCATCACCGTCACCATCATCATCACCATCATGTCCATGATAACCATCATGTTCAAATTCATCATCCGCAGAATCATCGCCGCCATCATCACCAGTATCACCATCAGCGGCAGCAGCTGCAACACCATCATCATCAGAATCATGATACTTGGCATCATCACCATCATCAGCATCATTAACAGCAGTATCACAATCATCACCACCATCATCATCATCATCATCATCATCATCATCAGCATCACCGCCATAATCAGCATCATAAGCATCGTCAGCATCATCACAATCTTCATCATCATCACCACCATCATCGGCAACAACATCATCCTCAGCATCAGCATCGTCGTCATGATCATCAGCATCCTCATGTCCAACATCATCACCACCATGATCGTGCGTAGCGTCTTCGCAATCTTCATTCTCGTCGTAACCATTACCACCACTATCATCACAATCACTAGCATCAGTGTCATCGTGATCCTCCCTCTCTTGCCTCTCCCCTCCCCTCCCCTGTGTCCATCAGCGTTCTTCCCTTCCTCTCCTCCACAGCATGATCCATTTCACTGAGAGAGGGGGAAGAGGATGGTGTGGAGGAGAGAAGGGAGGAACGCTCCCCCCTCCTCCTCGAGAAAAAAGGATTGTGGAGCGGGCGAGGCTTCCAAACCCAGTGCGCCCATGCGCGTGTACCTCCTCTTCTCCTTCTTCTTTTCGTTATTATTCTCACCACTATTAATATTATTATGGCTTTTTATCCTCTTCCTTCTCCTCCACCTCCTCCTCCTCTTCCTTCTCCTCCTCCTCCTCCTCCTCTTCCTCCCCCCCCCTCGTCCTCCTCATCCTTCTCATCCTCCTCCCCCTCCTCCGCCCCCTCCTCCTCCTTCTCCCCGTCCTCCTTCCTTTCCTGCGTCTCTGATGTGGCCCCCCCACAACAACAACAAAAAGAGGGCCGGTGTGGCGTTGGTGGCGTTTTTGCGAAAGGGGAGGCGGGAGCAACTGCCAGGGAGGCAACGCCTATGGAGTGATCCAGGGAGGGGTTCCGAAGCGATTTTGCCACTGGACACAGCAGGAGGGTTTCGTCGGGCCCAAAATCACCAGCCATGGCGGCGGCGGCGTGGAAGGGAGCCGGAGCTCCGCTACCAACTATAGAATGTGGGATGTGCAGACGTTTTAAACTTTACAATATCGCGTGAGAGACCAACTGATGTTCCAACACGAGAATAGAACGGGCAAGAAAAAGGTGGCCGCTTCCCGTATCCCGAGTAAAACGGCGGCGGAAAAGGGAGACCACCAACACGGATAATCATGTGCTAGATACCGTTCGAGGCACGGTGCCTTAAGGCCGGCACCGCCGTGCCTGAGGAGCCCCCAACAGCGACGGCACCGCCGTGGCTTTTGGGGGGGAGGCCCACATAGGGGGACGGGACTGCGGGAGGGCACGAGCAGCACCCAGGCGAGGGACAGAGAGGAAGAGGAGCAGAAGCGGGAGGAGCAGAAAGGAGGAGGCGGAGGAGGGGTGAAAGGCGGAGGAGTGAGCAAGAGGAGGAGGGGAAGGAGGAAGGAGGAAGGAGAGGAGGAAGGAGGAAGAGGAAGGAGGAGGCAGGCGGTGAAGCGTTTCGTGCCGTCCTCGGGCAGCCCTGCTGGCGTCAGGGGTTTTCCGAGCGTTTCGGCGACACCGGCGTTCCGAAGTCACTCGGGCGTCTGTCGGTGGCCCTGGCGAGGGCGACCGCAGCAGCGGCGTGGCCGGCGCTGATGCAGCACATGCGCTCCAGCTGGACGGCCTGCTCGTACGCGTCCTTCTGGGAGGAGCTGGACAAAGGAGCCAAGGGGTGCTGGAAAGGGGGCGCGGGAAAATACGAGGGAGGAGGAGGAGGCGGAGGAGGAGGAGGCGGAGGCAAAGAGGGAGGAGGCGGAGGAGGAGGAGAAGGGAGAGGATGAAACGGAAGGGGAGGAGGCGGCGGAAAAGGAGGAGAAGAGGAGGGAAAGGCTTAGCAAAATGGGGCGCGGGAGCGAGGGAACAGGTAAGAGAAGGGTCAGGGAAAGGGGGAGGAAAAGGGACGGGAAGGAGCAAGTAATCTAGGTCCGTCTGGGGATTTCCGCAATCTCCGACCAGTCTGGGTAATCCGCCGACCCCCGCTCGCTGCGGGTGCGAAGACGTGTGAAATTATTGGTTGTCCCTTTCCCCCTTTTCTCCAGCAATCACGCTTGCCACTAGTCACGCTCTGACGTCGCAGTGGTGTCGGCGGCGTACCAAGCCGCGCCGTGGATAAACATTGCGATAGACCGAGCTGTCCACAACTCACTTAGGCGGCGAGCCAGGGGGGGAAGTGAGAAGGGGCGTGCCTTCTCAGAAGGCTCGGAAGTCCCCCGGCCTTCTGAGAAGTTTTCTAAGCCTTCCCCGAAGACAGAAAAAACTTCTCAGAAGGCCAGAGGCCTTCTGAGAAGTCCCGCCGCCTTCTGAGAAGGCCTTCTCCTTCTCGTTTCCCCCCCTCGCTCACCGCCGATCACTGGGGCCAGCTCCGCTACCAAATAAAAAATCGGATGAGGACCATGTACTAAAAGGTTTGGGATATGGCGTCCTTCCTCGGATTAGGCAGCGCGAGAGCCCAAAAGTGGCGACAGTTACAGGAATTGGATGACCCGCTCGGATTAGTAATATGATCCGCGGGCCCCATAGGGAGGGGGCTCCCGCTTGAGACTTCCTCGGGTTAGTGACATGATCCGCGGGCCCCATAGGGAGGGGGCTCCCGCTTGAGACTTCCTCGCAATTCACTCACAGACGAGGCCCAAGGCGAGTGAGTGAGTGAGTGACTGACTGACTCACTGACTGACTGGTTATGATGATGATCATCACACTCTCTCACGCGCACACTCATCATCATCATCATCATCATCATCATCATCATCATCATCATCATCATCATCATCATCATCATCATCATCATCATCATCATCATCATCATCATCATCATATGTGAGTTCATGAGCGTGTGAGTGAGTGAGTGCTGATGAGTCGGTGAGTGAGTGAGTGAGTGAGTGAGTGAGTGAGTGAGTGAGTGAGTGAGTGAGTGAGTGAGTGAGCTAGTGAGTGAGTGAGTGAGCGCACGAAGACAGAAGAGGAGAGGGGGTGAGGTGAGGAGGTTCCTGCGCGGGGTGTCCAGAGAAAACAAGAACCCCACTTTGGATGTGGGGAACAAGACCCCCACTTTGGATGTGGGGAAAAAGCCCAAGACGGTCCAGGGGACCCAACCAGAGCGCCGAGGCACTCCAAAAGAGAGTCGAGACGGCCTAAGGTACCCCACAACAGTGCAAGATGGCTTTGAGACTGCCCACAGAGCCCCCAAGATAGCCCAAAAGCGCTTCCAGAGAATGAGAAAACTAAAATGCTTAGCATACTCGTCTTTTTCGCCTCGACATTGTCCAAGACAGCAAAGGGGCCCCCAAGATCGTCCCAAGACAGCCCCTGAGGCTCCCAAGAAGGCCCCACAACGGCCCAAGAGGGCCCCGAAACGGCCACAGGGGCCCCCAAGACGGCCCAAGAGAGGCCCAAGAGGGTCCCAAGAGGGACCCAAGAGGGGGAATTCGAACTGACATTTCTAGCCTGTCTCACCAAGATCGCCCCAGGAGCCCCCCAGAAGCCCCTAAGAACCCCACAAGAGGCCCCAAAGAACTCCCGAAAGGTCCCCCAAAGCCCTCCTGATGCCTCCAAGAGCTTTCCAAGACTGGCCTGAGTGGAATTCCAAGAGACCCGCATTTGCGTCCAATATGTTTCTTGTTTGTTCTCTCCCTCTCTCTCTAATTGTTCTCTCTCTCTCTTTCTCCCTATCTCTTTCTAATTCCCTCGTTCTCTTTCTCTCTCCCTCTCTCTCTCTCTCAATTTCTCTCCTCTCCCTCTCTATAGTTTGTCTGCCTCTCTCTCTCTCTCTCCGTGTTCCTCCTCCTCCTTCTCACCCTCGAACCCGCCCCTCTGTGGAGGAGGGCTCTCCATGGAATGAAGAGCGGAGCCTTTTGCATCGTTGCCTGAATCCGCCGACGTGCGCTTCCGGGGACTGCAGAGTCGCGCGAGATGATTGGCTGCCCCTGCCCCAAACATGTATGAGCCCAACATGGGTACACGTGTGGGTACGACCTTGAGGACCATGACTCGCACCAACACTTTCCATGGGCTCCTCTCTTCGTCTGGTGCTTGGCGGAATGGCGTACAGACGGCCCGTGTCATAAGGATGCGCGAAAAGTATGCAAGGGCCTTGGACGCCCATGTCGAAGCTTCTCGAGCGGGGCGCGGCCAACGAAAGTGGCTAAGGATGGACCGAGGAGGCGAGGATGCGAGGGTACCCTTGGGAAGGTTGCCCATCCTTACTATGCGGTTGACTGTAAGCCTCTTGAATGATCATACCCGTTCTGGCTTGTTTGGGGGTTCCTGTCCACTGGTCCTCAATGGCGAACTTCACCACGGCGTTGATTGGCAGGCAGTCGTGCCTTGAGCGCTCTTCTTCCATATGTAAGTTAAGGCCACTCACCATATTGTCGATAGCTTGTTCCAGATGTTCGGGTGACTCGTCCGTCGTATCAAGGATTTTGAGGACGGCTCGAAGAGTCACATCCAGGATGTGTGCCAAATGATCGAACCTGTCGTTTCCTGAGGGGCCGTTGCTCCCGTACGAGTCCAAAACTTCTACGAACTCCGCCTCACGGTTCCATGCGTTGGCCATGCGTTGTACCAGGACGAGAACATCGAGATCGTTGAGGAGCGCGTCGAAACGATCAAGGAAGCCTGTGAATAGCTTGACATCGAATGGCTTCCCAGGGCCGCGTACAATGACTGTCTTCGCTTCGACCTCACCAGTCATGCCTCGTAACCGCGTGAGCGTTGTCCTGAAGCCAGCCACCTTTACGCTGAGGGCGTCAAACTTGTCCTTGGAATATGTAGGAAGGGTCGCTCGCCTACACGTTTTGAAGGTGTCAGCGAGGGAGTACATATTCTCCCCAATGACAGACGAAATTTCCTTGATAATGATCTGCCGCGGTGAGGTCTCAAAGAACCGCTCCCCCCAGGCGTCAACAACGATCTGTACAAACATGGCAGCGGTAACGGTGCCAATCTTCTTGTAACCTGCTGCAAAAGTGTCGGTGTTCCATGTGGTAGAATCACCCGCGAAAGCGTAACAGCCGAAACCTGCAACGATGCAGCCCATGTAGTTCCACTCTGTAGAGGTGTAGTACATCAGGATAAAATAAAACTCAAACAAACAAAACATGATCAGGCGCAAGGTAGTCTCGATGGGTCCTGACCAAGCAATGACGCTGACAGCCGCGAGCATCAGGATGGGCACTGAATTCCCGAGAGACAGGCCAAGCAGACGTATCAGGTTCTTGTGAAAGGCCGACCCGCTAAAATCCGAAAGGAGCACGGCCAAGGTACCAGCCATACCTGCATCGAACATGGTGAACACGTTGCCTTGCAAGTAGTTCCCCATGGCGAAAGTAATGGTCAAGGACAGCAAATTGCGGATCAGAAACGAGCGCTCGGTGCCGGGTTGGAATCGAGGCCTCAATACGGAGCACACATTCAGCTTGCATTTCTCCATTGCCGCCACGTTTTTGCCAGACTGCTTGTGGATCATATCATCCCCAAGCTTGTAGGCTTCCTGTCCCAAGGCCATCAACGCGAAGACAAACATAGCGAAATTATTGTTCAAGTCTTGCACGCGTCTGTTATTGTCGCGCACTTCGCCTCTTGTGGAGGCAAACTTCTCCGACAAGTCATCGACACATCCCCGCACATTATCCCTCGCCTTAGTATCGATGAAGTCCTTTGTGTTGATGGCGTCGAATAATTCTGCAATCCGCCCCCGCCCCGCTTGCTGGGGGGGAGGACTAGGCGTCCTCCCTCCTCCTCCTCCTCCTCCACCTCCTCCTTCTCATCATCCTCGTCCTCCTCCTCCTCCACCTCTTCATCCTCCTCCTCCCTTTCTCCCCTACCCTCCCCCCTGCCTCTCTCTCCGCCCCTTCCTCCGGCCCTACAGCTCGGATAGGCCGTGTGTAGAAGTGCGCATCCACCGTCAGGGCCCCCTTCACGAAAGGCCATTTACGTAGCCTATTAGATAGTCCTCCGCCACCCCCTTCCCGATGCTCCACAGAGCGAAGCCCCCCCCCCCCTCCAAAAAAAATACGCATCCAGCTCGACCCACGTCGTCAAGGGGCGCTCTTGCAAACAGCCCGAGATGTTCCGAGGCGAGTGCCCCAGCCTGCCCCACGATGAACCCACGGTGGCCTGGGAGCCTCCCAAGGAAGCTCCCAAGAGACCCCCAGCAACAAGAAACAGTGCTTGGAAACCAACAGAAACAAACAAACAACAAAACTGGTCTTCAATGGTTTGGATATCATTGCCCGCACTCGGCTGCAGGGGGGCCCAAGAGGGCTGCCATCGAGCGCACCCGCACCAGGGGCCCAAACGGAGCACAACAGGGCCACGGCTGGCCCCAAAGAGGGCCCCGAGGAAGCCCCTGAAAGGCCCGACAGGCCTCCAGGAGTCTCTTCCCCAAACGTCACAACTGGGGCCCCCAAAGTGGCCCGAAACGGCCCGAAAAGGCCCAAGGAAGATCAAAGGAAGGAGACGCACCTGGACCCGAGCGAGGCCCCAAGTGGGGCAGCAAGAGGATCCCCGTGGTGCCCGCGCGAGCCCGACAAGTGAGCCCAGAATGGCACCCCGAGTGCTCGAGCGGACGAGCACCGAGGCCGTAGCCTGACCAGGCGCTCGCATTGCCCAAGAAACGTCCTGATCAGCGAAGAGTAGGAAGAGGAGGAGGAGGAGGAGGAGGAGGAGGAGGAGGAGGAGGAGGAGGAGGAGGAGGAGGAGGAGAGGAGGACCTCGCGCGAACACCTGCGCACCTCCGCGCGCGCACCTGCGCACGGACTTGCACCCAGGAGGAGGAGGAGGCGGAGGAGGAGGAGGAGAGGGAGCAGCAGGAGGGGGAGGAGGAGGAGGAGAGGAGGAGGAGGAGGAGGAGGAGGGAGGAGGAGGAGGAGGTGGAGGAACCCCTCTCTCGAGCCCCGACACCTCCACCGCTGGGGCCAGGAGTGCCGAGCCACACCCCGAGCGGATGGCGGGCCACCGGGGGAAAAGCGAGCTCCCGCAAGCCTCCGAGAGGCGGCGGCGGCCAAGGAGATACGCATACGCATTCAAACTTCGCCGACAACGCAAGCCCGGAGGAGGAGGAGGAGGAGGAGGAGGAGGAGGAGGAGGAGGAGGAGGAGGAGGAGAAGAGGAAGAGGAGGAGAGGGAGGAGGAGGAGGAGGAGGAGGAGGAGAGGAGGAGGAGGAGGAGAAGGAGGAGGAGGGGGAGGAGGAGGAGGGAGGAGGAGGAGGAGGAGGGAGGAGGAGGAGGAGGAGGAGGAGGAGGAGGAGGAGGAGGAGGAGGAGGAGGAGGAGGAGGAGAGAGGAGGAGGAGGAGGAGGAGGAGGGGGGGAGGAGGGGGAGGAGGAGGAGCAGGAGGAGGAGGAGGAGGAGGACGAGGAGGAGGAGGAGGAGGAGGAGGAAGAGCACCTTGCCATCCTCCTTTTCGGATCCCTTCGAGCTCTCTGTGTTTTTTTTTGGGGGGGGGGCTCGCGTCACTCTCCGAAAGGCGCGGCGCCGCGATTGCCAGACTCCCGCGGGCCCTGTCGCAGGGCTGCTGGGGCTCGGCGCGCGACTGCTCCCGCCCAAGACGGCTCAAGAAGCCCCGAGCCGCCCCCAGAGGGAGGGCCCACAAGAGAGCACCCGAGAGGGCCCCGAGCTCTCGAGGTCCTGGGCCGCCCTGGCCGTGGAAGTCCGCCGGCGCCCCCCGCTCACGGCGGGGCTCCCGACGCCTCGGGGGCGGCCCGCGCAGAGGCCCCCCGAGGAGAGCGCCCGCCGAGGCGGCCCGAGGCGGCTGCCTGGCAGGGCCTCGGCCCGCGGCCGGCCGGGCGGCCACCCGGGGCGGCCACCCGGGCGGCCACCCGGGCGGCCACCCGGGACTTCGACCTCGGAGCCCAGCCGTGGCCAGGGCACTTCTGTTCGGATTGCCGGGAAGGCGGCTGACGAGTCCGATGGTCGCCGCGCTGGGCGGCAATGCTTTGAAGGCTGGTGCCGAGGCTAGGGGGCCACATGCGAACCCTACCCCTACCCCCACGATTTCTGAGGGGGAGGGTGGGGTTCACTTCGTTCGGGAGCTCCCCCGAGCGAAGTGAACCCCACCCTCCCCCCCAGAAATCGTGGGGGGTAGGGGTAGGGTTCGCATGTGGCCCCCTAGCAGACCCGGGCGGCCGGCACGCCCTGGCGGCTCTCCCCCGCCCCAGAGGGTCCCAAGAGTGGGAGGCCGATGGCCCCTCTGGAAGAGCAAAGAGTGGCATAAACATTAAAAAAGCCGTGCAGTGTGCAGCTGCCGTGCTCCGAGCCGGAGCCGCTCCGCCTTCCGAGGGTAGGGGAACAAAAAGTGGCATAAGCATAAAACTCGGAGGTCCGCGCGGATTTCTCGGACTGGCGCTGGGTTGGGCGTTGCTTAATGGGGGGGTCACAAATGGGGGGGTCAGAAAAGGTCCCCTTTCGTGCCCCTTTCGGGCCCCTCTGGAGCCCCAGGGGGCTCGTTTAGGTACCGTTTGGGTACCTTTTCGGACCACCCTCGCCACCCCCCCATTTATGACCCCCCCATTACGCAACGCGGGCCACCCGACGGCGCCTCCGGAGCCGCCCCTGGCGCGCTCCGCGCGCCAGGGAAGGGGGGTCCAGCGCCGATCCGAGAAATCCGCGCGGACTTCCGAGGTTTTATGTTTATGTCACTTTTTGTTCCCCTACCCTCGGAAGGCGGAGCGGCTCCGGCTCGGAGCACGGCAGCTGCACACTGCAGCACCAACCCTCCCCGGGTCAGGCCCGGGCCCCCGCAGCTGAGCTGTCCCTCAGAGACGCCTGGAAGTGGGCAGCAACACCAACGCAGGGGTTCGCCTCCACAGGGGGAAGATGATCCTAGCTTTCGGTGTTGGTGGTAATAGTTCGGCCACCTTGGAAGCTCGAAGATTACCACCCTCACCGAGATCGGGATCCTCTTCCCTCGGTGGAGGCACACCGCCGAAATTGGTGTTGGTGTCAACCTGCGAAGATTGTCCCAATAGGGCATCCGCGACGGCCTCGATCGCCTTTCGGCGGCGAGCGAGAAGGGGGGGGGGAACGAGGAGGAGAAGGCCTTCTCAGAAGTCCCGGCAGTCCCCCGACCTTCTGAGACGTGTTGTGTTCTACGTGAGCCTTCCCCGAAGACACAAAAAACAGCTTCTCAGAAGGCGCGAGGGCTTCTGAGAAGTTCCGCCGCCTTCCGAGAAGGCCTTCTCCTTCTCACTTCCCCCTCGCTCGCCGCCGATTCTTCCTCTGCCAAGATGACCCCCAGAGGGCCCAATATGGCGCTAAGCCGGCCATAGCTCCCCAACTGGCCTCAAGGCGGCCCAGGATGCCCCCGATGGGGCCCACAAGGACTCCAAGAGGACTTCCAGGAGGGCCCGAACAGGCTAAAAACAGCGACTCGCTTTGGATGTTGAAAGATGCTGGTGTTCCCGAGTCCGACAGCTCGAGACGGCCCCACAAGCTTCCTGGACAGCTGCAGGACATCCCCGGAAGCTCCGGAGAGGGCCCCGAGACAGGCCAAGACGGCCGCGGGTCACTCCGCACCGCGGGAACCCACAGGAGCCTGCGAACGTGGCAACAGTCAGACCGTCGGCAGCCTCCCCCCCCGGGGAGCCTCGAGGTCTCCTGTGGGCTCGCGCGTCCCCTCCGCCCGCGGGCCGCAGGGCCTCGTCTGGGTCGGGGTGTCCCTCTGCTCCGCTGGACCGCCCCTGGCCATCGCTCGGACGTCCAGTGCACGTTTCGGTTTCGCGCGTGTGCTCGTTCGCAAGAGGACCCAAGATGATCCTCGATGGTCCTCGGAGCGATGCCAGGGCCCAGAGGCCTGCGAGAGTGGTGGCGACAATGGCGCAGTTGGCAGCCTCCCCCCCCCCGCCGGGAGCGGCCGTGAGATCTGTGGGGCGAGTGCGCCGCCGCTTCCTCTTCCTCCTCCTCCCCCCCTCCTCCTCCTCCTCCTCCTCCTCCCTCCTCCTCCTCCTCCTCCTCCTCCTCCTCCTCCTCCTCCCTCCTCCTCCTCCTCCTCTCTCCTCCTCCTCCTCCGCCTCCGCCTCCTTCTCCTTCTTCTCTTCCTCCTCCTCCTCCTCCTCCTCCTCCTCCTCCTCCTCCTCTCCTCCCCTCCTCCTCCTCCTCCTCCTCCTCCTCCTCCTCCTCCTCCTCCTCCTCCTCCGCCTCCCTCCTCCGCCTCCCCTTTTCCTCCTCCTCCTCCTCCTCCTCTCCTCCTCCTCTCATCATCATCATCATCATCATCATTCATCATCATCATCATCATCATCATCATCATCATCATCATCATCATCATCATCATCATCATCATCATCGCAGCATCAGCAGCATCATCATCATCATCATCATCATCATCATCTCATCATCATAATCATAATCATAATCATCATCATATTCCCCCTTTTCCTCCTCTCCTCCTCCTCCTCTTCCGCCTCCTCCTCCTCCTCCTCCTCCTCCTCCTCCTCCTCCTCCTCCTCCTCCTCCTCCTCCTCCTCTACCGTGTGGGTGCGAGTGCGCCGCCGCTCTGTGGGGCCTCCCGGGGGAGCCCACGAAGTAGGCGACGACGGTTTGTTCGCGGGCTGCGGCCCCCCCCCCCCAGGGGAGCCGCGAGGGCAAGCCTGGGTGCGCGGGCAACTCCCAGGGATAGGCCTCAACAGCATGTTTCGTGCTCGTGTTGTTGTCGTCTTCGTTTTCGTTTTGTCGTCGTTGTCATGTTCGTTGTGTGTTCGTTCCCGTGCTGTTTTCGTTGTCCCTCAACCTGTCTTCCGTCCGCCTCTGCCGCAGAACGAAGCCGAAGCGAAAACGGCACACGGAATCGCCACAAAACACCGTTCAGGTCGAAACCCGGCAACTCCACTCTGCTGGGCCTCCCAGAAGCCCGCGACAGCGGCGACGATTCCGCAGTTGGCAGCCCCCCAAGGAGCCGCGAGGTCTCGTCTGCTCCGCGTGGCCCACCGCCCCCGCTGGGCCTCCCATCAGATATCCACAGTTCCCCCATCTGTGCAATTCGCAGGCAACCAGGGAACAACGGGGTCTCGTCCGAGTCCGCTTAAGAGCTCCACGCCGCTGGGTCTCCCAGGGGCCCACGCGAAGTGGCGACGGCTGCGCAGTGAGCAGCCCCCCAGTGAGCCGCGAGGTCTCGTCTCGGTCCGCGTGCAACTCCATTCGGTTGGACCCTCAGGAGCCTGCGATGACGATGACGATGGCGTCGTCATCGTCAACGTCGTCGCCATCACCATCATCATCATCATCATCATCATCATCATCATCATCATCATCATCATCAGCATCAGCAGCAGCATCATCATCATCATCATCCTCATCATCATCATCATCACCACCATCATCATCATCAGCAGCAGCATCATCATCACCATCATCAGCAGCATCACCATCCTCATCATCAGCATCATCATCATGATCATCATAATCATCATCATCATCATCAGCATCATCATCAGTATCATCATCATCAGCATCATCATAATTGTCACCATCATCATCAGCATCATCGTCATTATCAGCAGCAACATCATCAGCAGCATCATCAGCATAAGCATCATCATCAGCAGCAGCATCATCAGCACCCTCATCATCAGCATCATCATCAGCATCATCATCAGCATCATCAACATCATGATTATCGTCATCAGGAACGTCATCATCACCAGTATCAGCATCGGCATCATCACCACCACCGTCCTCGTCATCACCACCATCATCACCATAACCAGCATCATCATCATCAGCATCATCATCAGCATCGCCATCATCAGCATCATCAACAACAACATCATCAGCATCATCAGCATCATCATCACCATATTCACCATCAGCAACATCGACATCGTCAGCATCAGCATCAGCATCAGCATCAGCTTCAGCATCATCATCACCAGCATCATCATCATCAGCATCATCATCGTCGTCGTCATCGTCATCGGCATACTCAGCATCATCATCATCATCATCATCATCATCATCAGCATCATCATCATCAGCATCATCAGCATCATCATCATCGTCATCGCCATCGTCATTGTCATCGTGGCGACAGTTACGCAATTAGCAAGCCACGAGGTCTCGTCTGGGTCCGCGCGTCCCTTGGCCCCGCTGGACCTCCCAAAGGAGGCCATATAAGAGTAGCGACAGCTGCGCAGTGGGCAGCCCCCCCGAGAGGAGCAGCAGTGTCACGCCTGGGCCCACTCAATTCCGCTCCGCTGGACCTCCTCTACGAGCCCACGAGAAGTGGCAACCGTGGCGCAAGTTTCAAGCCGCGAGATCTCGTCTCGATAATGATGAGATGATGAATATGATGATGATGCTGCTGATGATGATGGTGATGGTGATGGTGATGATGATGGTGGTGATGATGATGATGGTGGTGATGATGATGATGGTGGTGGTGATGATGATGATGATGATGATGATGGTGATGATGATGATGATAATGATGATGATGATGCTGATGATGCTGCTGATGATAATGATGCTGATGCTGATGCTGATGATGATGACGACGATGACGATGACGATGACGACGACGATGACGATGATAAGATGACGTCATCGTCATCGTCTTCGTCATCATCGTCATCGTTGTTGTCATCATCATCGGTCCGCGTATACCTCAGCTACTCTGGACTGCTCGGGAGCCCACGACAAGTGGCGACGCCCGAAAAGACAGGACGATGAGGAGGGAGGAGCCTTGGAGCAGGCAGGGCTTTTTCCAAGTCGAAGACTCAGCCAGAGGGAGCTTGGGGACAAATGGGACCCGCCTTCCTCCAAGACACACCGCGCATTCCGCCGCCCGCTGCGCTGAGTGCCCCCTTCTGTGGGACCCCAAGGCGGCTCCACAATGAAGTCCAAGACGATATCGAATTCCGGATCTGTCCCCAATCGGATGCTGAATTGGAGACATGATTGGCATGGTGAGGGCTCGTATTTGACTGACTTCGGCGTCTCTTCGGCCTCTTCAGCCCGTCTCGGGGCTATCTTCGGCTCTTCCCGCAATCGTTGGACAAAGCGGGCGGCGAACGCGAAGCGTCTTGAATAGCGTCTGCCAACTTCTGCGTCTCACGCTCCACCCCACTCCGGAACTCCCTGATGCTTGCTATATCTTCATCTTGGTCCGGGTCATCATAGAGAGCCGCAGTCTCGAAGACCACACTTTTCTTCAGTATGTGCAGCGCGTCGTCAAGCCCGCCAACCTGTTCGTCAAAGAACTGCACGTAGAGTCCGCAACTCCAGCGCGCCTGTCGGAACCACGAGCGCCTCCAGAACAAGAACAGCCAGCCCTCCCACCAAGAATCGTAGTAGTCTTTCACCATTGTTGCGAACTGCGTGCTGATTGATCCGATGGCTGATTCGATCTTGAAACCCTTGGCTGTATAAGTGCTCCCCCTACGCATGGGTTGTTCAGTCATGAGCTCGATGCTGTCATTCAGAACTTGCTTGAGTGTCTCTTGTAACTTCATTGGGTGCTCCTCCAATTTATTCGCGACGACGCTGCTGCATGTCAGGCAGCAGGGCTTATCAGGGTCATACGATGGCACGAGCACGATGATGAGCGAAAGACCAGCGCCCAACATTGTGGTTAAGGTTACGGCGTGCGAGGCATGGAATCCCTGAAACGAAAGAAAAGCCATCATATAGACCATGTGCCAGCTCAGGGCCCACTTTTTGACCGCTTGTGGGGCTGGGCAAACGAGGACACAACACAGGAAGGCCACAAAATCGAACCACACGACGTAGATCCCAACCGAAAAGGAGGGGTCTTCATATTCCATACAAAATGCACGGGTGCCCGTGAAGCCAGTACGAGTCGCAAACGCGGCACATCCACCATCAGTCCCGTGCGCAAGGCACTTGCAAGCACCACCCTTCGGATAGAAGGAGCCCATGACAAATTGGTTTGCGCCCGCCGCGAGGGTGCCAGCCAGACCCTGCACGACGTTCCTAGTCGTTTCGCCAGCACTGAAATCCGCTCTCGCACCTTCATGGCACGATGTCGAGCGCCCTCATTTTGACAAGAGAATGTTTCTATTACTCTTGCGTTCGACACTATCGGGCCGTAAGCTGTTGAGAGCCGTGGGCCCCCAGCTCCAGAGGGTGCGCCGAGCTTGGTCGCAAGTCCTCTTCCTGCTCCTACTCCCTCGTGACTCATCCCCCCAGTATCCCACCTTCTTCCTACAGTCGGACCTAGGCCAGAAGAGCACCCCTCAAGAACATGGGACCCCCCGCCTGCCCAAACTGAAGAACACTCGAGGGTGCCCTCCCCCAGGATGCACAAAAACACCCAACAAGCACAAAGAACATTAAGGCCCCCTCCCCGAACCGACCTCGATCTTATACCTCGGTCCGACTCTGCCGAACTTCACCCGGAATTGGGACCGATGCGAACTGGAGTCGGAAAGATAGGCTGGGGACGTGGCACTTCGTTCTGGGGTCGCCAGTGCCGTAGAGGTTTCGAGCATAGGAGATCGATCGACTACAGAGCTGATGCACGCCAAATTGTTCATCATCTTCCAATCTACGAACACATCCATGGAACGTTTGTGAATGCACGAAAATGCAGCGCACCCATCGGTCAGAAGAAGCAGGTAGAAACACGAAGTAGGAAGGCGTTGAAAATAGATTGGGTTCCGTCCGCCCCCTTGGGAGGACGGAAAAGGTGAAGCCACTCGATCATTGAAGTAGGAAGGCGCTCAAAGCAGGAACATGGGAATCCAAAACCATCTACTCTCAACGACCGATGGGTACTCTTCGTGGACTCCCCGAACCGACCTCGATCTCATGCCTCGGTCCGACCGTAACCCCATCCAGCCGCACCCCCGCGCGCGTCTCGCCGGCAGGGAAGGTCTGGGCGCCTCGCCGAGAGACGGCCCCGCCACGCGCGCGGTGCCGGAGCGCGGCGCGAGCTCTGCAACCACCTCCACGGACGGAGGACGGGCAGCTCTCAAAGTGTGGCCCTCGCCGTATATACAGGGCAGTGTTTAACACATGGTTTTTTTATATAGGATGTTTAATACATGACTACTTTATGAATAAATGTATGCATGAACCCATTGTTATTTTTGATACTACGTCCCTGCAGTTTTAATACATGATCAGCACGCGGAGCATGTATTAAAAACGGCACTGTACAGGCGGGGCTGATTGGAGAGAACACGCGAGAGGACACGAGAGCCTTCCGAAGGCAACATTGCCACAGGAATGTAGGAAGGCATGGGTCGCAAAGCTCAGGACACAAGGGTACCCTTGATTTGGCAGGGTCGCCCTTCTAATCAGTCTCGACTGTAGAGGACCAAAAAACCGCCCCCCATAACGATCCCCCAGAAAATCGAAACCGCTTAGTAAACGCACCCAAGGAAGGAATCGAACACGGCAGGGCTGTTCAGGAAACGCCCAGGGCTGCTTAGTGAACGCAAGTTGTCGGGGTCTGCGTGATTTGTCCTCCCTGGATCAACGCCGCGCACAGTCGCGTCAAAGGTTGCCAGAGCTTCACGGATGGAGGGTGGGTCGTTTTCAGATTGTGCGTTTCGTCTCAGCAGCATACAGATTCGCCCTACAAGTTCACATAAACTTCACGGATGGAGGGCGGGTCGATTTCCAAATGTGGCACTCGCCCCAGCGCCGCACACATTCGTATGAAAAGTTTGCGGCCGTTTCAAAGATGAAGGGCGGCTATGTTTCAACATGTGCTGTTTCCTTCAGTGTTGCGTTCCTTTGTTCTGACAGTTTGCAGCAGCTGTGTATGATTTGCATGGTCGAAGTCTCAGGAATGGTGTTCTGGCAAGATCTGGGACTGCCAGGACGAACAATTCACTGTGATCCGTGGTGCTGAAATCGCAAGAGTGGTATTCTGGCGCGATGTAGGAGATCGGGAAATCTGTCATGTTGATTCGCACCGCTGAAGTCCCAGAAACAGCTAGGCACGATTGGGTTTTTTTGACGGCTGTCTTCCAATGGAGCATATCCCGCTATGAAGCAACAACTCTGGTAGAGCCCTATGAAAATGGAGCTTGGAACGAAGGGGTATGCAACATCGCAAATTCCCCATATCCAAAGTGGGGCTCTTGTTTTCTCTGGACACCCCGCGCAGGAACGGGATGAAAGGAACACCCCCTCCCTCTCTTCTCACTCACATACTCACACACTCACATCATCATCACAACATCAACACAGCATCCTTTACAAACTCATTCACACTCACCCGGCCACTCTCATTCATTTCCTCTCGACACCCCACGCAATCATGTCACCTCTCCCCCTCTCCTCCTATGCCGTCGCACGTTCATTCGCTCAATCAGTCACGCACCATCAGCTGCATAACACCTTCAGTTTTTCCCCCTTCGCAGACTCAGTCACGGGTCTCATCATCACGTCAATCAACCTACTCACACCATCATGATCCTCACTCGCCTGTGTGTCGTCGCGGGCGAAAGCCTCGTCTGTGACTGAATCGCGAAAAAGTCTCAGGTGGGAGCCCCTTCCCTATGGGGCCCGCAGCCAGGGTGTTGAATCCGAGCGGGTCATCGGCCTCCGGCCTCCTGTAACTGTCGTTAATATCTGGCTCCTGGGGCCTGAGTATGGAGGAGATATCCGGCAGGAGCCTCGTCGGTGGGTGAGGACGTCCCTGGCGGGAGGACCCCCTCCCTATGGGGCCCGCAGTTCCTGTTTTTGTCCCCCGATTATTTTTCCGAGCGGGTCACCGGCCTCCTGTACCTGTCGTCACTTCTGGGCTCCTGAAGCCTGAACGTGGAGGAAGTATCAGGTTGGAGTTTCGTCTGGGAGTGAAACGCGAAAAGTCTCAGGTGGGAGCCCCCTGTCTGTGGGGCCCGTAGCCAAGGTGTTTAATCCGAGCGGGTCATCGGCCTCCTGTAACTGTCGTCACTTCTGGGTTCCTGAAGCCTGAAAATGGAGGGGTATCAGACGGGAGCCTCGTTTGTGAATGAATTGCGAGAAATCTCAAGCGGGAGCCCCCACCCCTATGGGGCCCGCAGATCCGAGGCGGGTCATCGGCTTTTTGTGCCTGTCGTCACTTTGGGGTTCCTGAGGCCTGACGAATGGAATAAGTATCAGGCGGGAGCCCCGTCTGTGAATGAATTGCGAGGAGGTCTCAGGCGGGAACCCCCCTCCCTATGGGAACCGCGCTTGATGCTGGAACCCAAAGCGGGTCATCGGCCTCCTGTACCTGTCGGACTCTTGGGCTCCTGAGGCCTGAAAATCGAGGACGTATCAGGCGGGAGCTTCGTCTGCGAGTGAATTGCGAGGAAGTCTCAGGCGCGAGCCCCCTCCCTATGGGGCCCGCAGCTCACGCATTTAATCCGAGGCGGGTCATCGGCCTCCTGTAACTGTCGTTTTTTGGGGCCCCCTGAGGCCTGGATATGGAGGAAATATCAGGCGGGAGCCTCGTCTGTGAGTGAATTGCGAGGACCTCCTCCTCCAGGGCCTATTGGGGCCCACCCACCCACCCCCGTCCGACCAACCAGCCAATCCAGACCGAAGGGGTGCGCACCGCAGTGCCGAGTCCCAAGGACCGAGCAACCGTGCCACATGTTACTGCCCGCCCCGAGACCTCACCCAAGGGGGGCCCGCCAGGGCCCCAAGGGCGGGCCACCACAAGAGGTGTCACGCGCACGGCGCCGACACCGAGCCCGACCCCCCCCACGCTCCCCCATCCCCAGGCGGTGAAGACGATGGAGGGAGAGGGAGGACTTTGGGGGCACACCGCTCGGACCACGAGCGCCTGCCTTCTGGAGGGGGCCGCCCAGGGACCCCCAGTCCGGGCCAACGTGGCCCGTCTATCAAATGATGCGGTAGATGATACCGTAGATGATCACCTTCAAGGCGGCGCACTCCAGCGCCGACACGCGTCGCCTTCGGGAGCGACGCAAGGGAGGGGGGCCAAGGCCCCCCCCCCGCCCCCCCGGTTTCCGGCCCCCGGGCCCCCGGGGGAAAAACGAGCCCCCGGGACGCGAAGGCCCCGCGGCCCGAGGGGGGGGCCCGACCCGCGGGCCCACCCCCAACCCGAGCGGGGGAGCGGAGGGCGGGAGCGAGGGGAAACGCCCCCCCCCCATGGGAGGGCGGCTTGAGCCCGAATAGGCCACGGAGGATAGAGGTCCCCCCCCGCCAACTGCGTCGGAGGGGGGAAGGACCTCCTCCTCTAGGGCCTATTTGGACCCACCCGCCCACCCCCGTCCGACCAACCAGCCAATCCAGACCGAAGGGGTGCGCACCGCACTGCCGAGTCCCAAGGACCGAGGAACCGTGCCGCATGTTACGGCCCGCCCCGAGACCTCACCCAAGGGGGACCCGCCAGGGCCCCAAGGGCGGGCCACCACAAGAGGTGTCACGCGCACGGCGCCGACACCGAGCCCGACCCCCCCCACGCCCCCCCATCCCCAGACGGTGAAGACGATGGAGGGAGAGGGAGGACTTTGGGGGCACACCGCTCGGACCACGAGCGCCTGCCTTCTGGAGGGGGCCGCCCAGGGCCCCCAATCCCAGAGGGGGGCGGACCCCTCCCCGGGGGCGGCGGACCCAGGAGCCGAGGGCACCTAGGAGGGGGGGGGCCCGCCCGAAATACCGAGGGCCCCGCCAGGGCGCAGGCCCGGGCCCCCCCCCTCCGTCCCCCAGCCTCCTTTGCCCTCCCGGGCCTCACCAAGGGTCCGCAAGCCGCAGACCGACTCTCCGCGAGTCCCTGCCCGCCACCTGGCGGCCCACCGCCTCCTTCTTCGCCAGGGCGAACTGATCGCCGAAGGCCAGCAGCTCCCTCATCACGCTGAGGCCGGACAACACCTGCTTGCTGTCGATCCGGTGCTTCACGTCGAACTTCTCGAACTTGCCATTCGCGAGGTCGTCTGCCTCCACGTTGATGCTGCGGCGCCTCCAGATCAAGTCGAGGTCCAAATTCAAATCTGACAATCGAGCGCTTAGCTCCATGGCCACCGCGCACAAGGGCCATTTCGTCGTCAGCCACTTTCTCACCAACCCGCTGTTGCCCTGATTGTCAGTGCCGGCCGAAAACGATCTCCTGCCCATCCCGCCTCGGCCGACGGTCGAAGGTCGAAGGGCCAACGAAGAGGACGACGCCGCACACAACGGCGAGGAGCTCCTGGCTCGCGACGACGCGGAAGGGGGCGCCCTTCTCGAACGCCCAGGGGACCTCGTCCCGCTTCAGCTCCTGTGAAAACCATTTTGCGCTGCCCGGGTCGGGCGATGCGCCCGTGGTCCAGCCCCCCAGGACGATCAGGTCCCCCTCGGCCTTCGCGTCAATCCTGAAGAGCTCGCCCCGGTCGTCCAGCGACGGCTTGAACGAGCGCATGCCGCACTTCGCGATCAACTCTCCTGCCCATTTCAAGGCGACGCGAACCGCCAAGGGGGTAGGAAGGCGCGCCCCCCGCGGGCACGAAGCACACCAGGCGAAGATCGGGCCCAGGAAGGGCCCGATATGGATCAGGGGGCCCGCCGCGAACATCAGCCTCCCCAAGCCCTCGCGGACCGTGGCCACCAGCATGACCGGCGCGTCCGCGACCTCGGAACACCACCGCACCGCCCAGTCACGGCGGCGCTGCGAGATGCCAAGCTCGACCTCCCGGATCAAGATGTGGTAGCCGACCCGGTCGATCTCCACGCCACCGCGCAGCTTTCCCGGGGCGAGGGGAACCCCGAGCGTCACCATGATCAGCAGTACCAAGAGCAGCTTCCTCTCGAAGACCGCGCCCGTGGCGATGATGAGGCCGTCGTCCGCGTAGACAAGGTGGAACACCGCGCGCATCGGCAGGCCGAAGTAGTGGGCGACCCTGACGACCAGGCCGAAGACGCGCGCCCACCAGTAGCCCGCGCTCGCCACCCCGTGCCCACCGTGTTCACGTGCACCGTCATGGCCTCGCTCCCCTCGCCCTCCGAAGCAGCCGAGGGCGCGCAGCAGGCCTGCCAGCCCCAGTCCTCCTCCCGGACCGGGATCTGCCTGTGCGCCCTGGCCACGTCGTAGAGGAGGGCGAAGCGGACCGGCTCGCCAAGGCCATCCACCGCCTCGAGGGTGGCCACGATGTCCTGCCAGACCGGTAGCTTGACCTGGTCGAGAATCCTGATCTGATGGTTGACCAGCACGTGGTGCGTCGCGTCGAACACCACCCGCCACTCGTCCAGGCCCGCTGCCTTCTGGACCGCGCCGAGAGCAGCCACCCGCACACGATCCGGCCAGCGTCGCCTCGCCTCGCCCAAGGTGTTCTTCAGCATCCGTCCCTCGGCGACCTCCTCGTCCAGGTACCGGTCGATCACCTCGGGGCGATCCCTCACCGAGCTGTAATTCTCAGCCCATTGGTCGCCTGCCGCGAACTCGTCCTCCGACAGCCGCGGCAGCGCCCACTTCAGCTTGCGCTCGTAGACGGCTGGGGTCCTCGGGAGCGGGGTGTCGACCCCGAGTGGCACGCCCACTGCCGCCCAGACCGCGACGCGGTAGTCCGGGCCCCCGAAGGCCTTGCCGAGCGCGTCGAGCAGCCCGAAAGCAATGGGCGCCCTCGCGCCCCCCGCTCTCGGGCGAGGGCCCAGCCCAGCCCGACTCAGTGCCATGCGCCACCTGGTCTTGAGCTTCGCCACGAGCACCGGCGAGAAGATGTCCCCCTCGAACTTGCCCGCGGCCCTCTCGAGCAGGAACGCTCGGAGCGGGGGAAGCGCGCTCCGCTTCCGCTGTCGCTCCTCGGTCGCCGCCTCGACCTCCAAGTCCTTCAAGGCCGCGTCCAAAGCCGCCCGCAAGTCCGAGGCGACGCTGGAGTCCGGGAGCCTCCTCGCGGCGAAGGGCCACCGCCCCGGCGAGCAGCTGCCTGCGCCGTCCTCCATGCCGCGGGCCCCCCGCCTGAGCGGGGCCTGCAGCGGGCCCCCTCGGCCCAGCCATCCGTCGCCTGCCTTCCTCGGGGATCCCGGGTTGCCCGAATCGATGTCCGGCAGGTTCGCGCCCCCCGAAAGCTTCGCGCACGCCGCGATGATGGCATCGCCGTGGCACCTCTCGCTCGGCAAGCAGTGGCACACCAGGCGCTTGCCGCCGAGGCCGCGGAGGCCCGCGCGGAGGGGGCCTGCCGAAGCCAGGAGGGCGGCGTAGTTGTCCACCACCGCGTCCCTCGAGAGGCCCCCCGAGATCTCCCAAGGGTTGTGCCAGGGCGACTTCTCGAGGCCCTCCCTCGAGCTGCCCCTGCCGATGTAGACGTCCCCAGGGAGCAGCTGGCCCACCTGGCTGATGGTGGCCCGAGAGGGTGGAGGGCCCCCGCCGACCATCACCCCATCCCGCAGGGGGTCGAAGGGGGTCAGGAAGTCCTCGATGATGGCGGTCGCGATCCACCTGTACATGGCCACTGGGTACGCGGCCGTGTCCGCCAGCTCCCGCTTGCGCCGCCCGTCGGGCGTCACCAGCTGGCGCGAGCCGCTGGGGGGCGGGCTCAGCGGGCCGCGGCACCAGCCCTCGCCATCCAGATCTGGCCAGCCCAGCGCGCGTCCAGCCGCCAGCGCGCCGAGGTCCGTGAGGAACCTCGCGGGCTTCGGGCACAGCACGCCGAACTCGAGCTGGCGGAACGCGAACGTCACAAAGCCTGAGTCCGGCCGCGTGATGCGGCGGAACTGGGGGAGCTGCCACAGGCTGGCTGGCCTCCCCCACGCAATCGCGCGGACCCGACCAATGGCCCTGCGCGCGCCCAGGTCCTCCGGGAACTCCATGAGGCCGCGCGCGCGGTGCCCGACCGACCTGGCATGGATGACGGCCTCCAGGATCTGCGCCGCGAGCAAGCCGAGGATGTTGGCGTCCTGCACCCTCTCCTTCGACGGGCCCTGCAGCCATGGGAAACCGAGCGGCCACATGGCGTTCCGCAGCGGCGGCGGGCCCCGCCGGTTCGCGAACAGCGACCTCAAGAAGGTGCTGCATGGAGGCGTGACAATCACCACGCCGTACGCCCCCTCGCGGACGTCCTCCACCTCGACGACCTCCAACTCCAGCGGGGTCGCTGCGACCTTCTCCTCCAGGCACTCCTTGATGCTGGCCCGTCGGGAGAGGCCCGAGAAGAGGTAGAGGACGCGCAGGTGCGTCCGCGCGGGTACGCGGCTGCCAGGCCCCGCGCCGCCGCTGCCGAAGTCGGCGTCGTCGCCATGACCCGCAGCGCCCCGCGTCCGCAGCACCGCCCCTCTCGGCCCAGGGGGAGGGCCGCAGCGCCCCCCTGGGAGGAGGGTCGCGGCGGCCGCAAGGACGAGCGGGCCGCCCGAAGGTGCCGCGCCTGCAGCAGGGGGCGAGGCCACGGCCTCTACTTGAACAGAACGATCTTCATGAGGTACAGCGCCAGGGCCCGCTGGCGCGTCTGCTGCGTCGGGCGGGCCCTCGTCGCCCGACGCCGCAGATAGTCGACCCGGCCCAGCCCGGAGCGGTGGCGCGCCAAGCCCACCGCCGCCCGCAGCGGGCGCATCAGCCAGGGCGGGCTGCGGGCCATGTCCACCCCGGCCGCCAGGGCGGTGCTGGTAGACCGGGTGGTTGCCCAGGCAGATCCGGCACACGTGGACCATGCCGCAATCGCCCCGGCAGTTCTCCTGCTCGTTGGTGCACGCGAAGCAGATGTTGCGGCCATCGGGGGTCTTCCTCAGCAAGATCTCGCCGCCGAGACGATTCTTGCCGCCGCCCTTGCCTCTGCCCTGGCCCCTCGACCTGCCCCTGCCGCCGCCTCGGCCCCCGCCGCAGCGCAGGGTGCCGCCTGAGCCACGGCCCGAGGGGCCGTCCATCAGGGCGAGGCGGGGGCTGCGAGAGCGGTGACTGTCCTCAGCCGCCCTGCCTGTGGCCGCGGATACCGCGACCTGCGTGATGAAGTGGCGATCCCGCAGCGAGGTGTCATTCCAGGCGCCCCGCAACGCCTGCTCGAAGGTCTTGCCGAAGTTCATCATCCGAGCGTGCTCCTTGCGAATCTGGTGGTCGTAGTGCATGACCTGGTTCCAGTTCGGCCTGCTGACGATGTTGCCCTGTAGGCCCTTGGCCGTGAGCCCGCGAACGTGGTCGCCCAAGATGTACTCCAAGTACTCGTTGAAGAGCTCCACCGAGGCGCTCTTGAGGGCTGGCCGACCCGGATGCCTCAGCCTCGCGTACACGTAGGCCAGCGCCAAGGTCCGAATCCTCTTGCGGAACGCCTCCGGGTCCGTCGGCGCAGATCTCCGTCTTGCCACGCCTCAGCCTGATGATGCCCGACATGTCCACGGCCGCGCCAATCTTGGAGTCGTCGCCGTCCTCGATGCTGACCACCTGCGTGAGCGGGATCGCCTCCATGTTGGACTCCTCGATCATCTCCATCACCTGCTCGACCAGCGGGGCTCCCGGCGCCACGCGGTCCTCGATCACGCCGTGGATCTGCTGTGCTGCCTCGCGCATCGAGAGGTGAGTCGCCTTGCCAATCAGTTTCGGCAGCCGCGCGCTCTTCGCCTCGGCCCCCCGTTTGCGATCCTCCTCAGCACGGAGGCAGGCCGTCTCCCAGGCGTCGATCACCTTCACGATGGCCAAGCGGGCCGCGGGGCCCCCTTCCCTTCCAGCAGCAGGGTCGAGGCCGAAGTCCCGCGCCAAGACAGCCCTCACCTGGGCTCGGTCGTCACCCAACAACGCGAAGCGATTCAACGTGTTGTAGCCCTGCCTGGCCATGGCGTCCTGCACGGCATCCGGGACCTCCTTCTCCTCCAGCAAGAACCGAAGGTCCGCCGCGAGCTGGCCCCGCGGCTCGGCCATCGCGTCGCGCCCAGCGGACGGCCGCTGACCAAGGCCTCGAGTGGGTGCCAGACCGGGTCCAGCACAAGCAGTCAAGCTCGCCGAAAGCTCGTGCCGAGCGCGATGGAAGGGGGACGAGAGAGGGGACCGGGGCTGAGCTAGCGAGGCCCAGGGGGAGGCCGAGCGCCGGCCAGGAGGCGGCCCTCCTCGCGCCCGACGAAGCCCCGCGGGCCCTCGCACCCCTCCCAGTTCTTTTCTCTCGGTCCCCCGACAATCGATGTCCCGACGCAGCGCCTGCTGCATCGCGGGCGCGGCTCTAGAGCTGAGAGATGCGGCCCGGCGCTCGCCCGAGCGCCGCCGCGCGCCCGTCGGGCGACCGAGCGCCGCCGCGCACCCCCCCGAAGAGCGCGTTCCGAAGTCCAGAATGTCTGAAAACGAATGTTCCTTGCAAAGTGATGTTTGCGCCCTGTTGTTTGATATTTGGCAGTCCTTCCTGTTCCAGGACTTCCAGGGCTGCCAGGATTGCAGGACTTAAATATTTTCCAGGATTCCAGGACTCATTCATTTCAGGGCTTCCGGGTCTTCCAGGATTCCAATCCACGAGTGAATTCCGAGATTTCTACGATTTCTTCCGGACTCTTCAGGATTAGCAGAACTTCGCTCCGCCGGGACTGGAATGCATCAGGGTTTCAGGACTTCCAAGAATTCCTTCCACGATTTGCAGGACTTCAGCGACTTCCAATCCAGGACTTCCACCATAGGACTTTTCAGGATTTCCAAAAATAGCATCGCATAATTCTAAGGTTTCCAGGATTTCAGGACTTCCAGGCTAAGGATTTTCAGGTCTTCGTGACACTTCCTGGCAGAATTCCAAGACTTCCAGGATTTCCTTACGGTTCTTCAGGGCTTCCAGGACTTCAGGACCCCAATACTAATCCCTTGTCAGACTTCAGGCCCAGAGGATCCGTGATTGTTAGCACAAGGCGTGCGATCTACATGTACGTAAGACTTGAAGTGCTAGCATAGGAGTGGTAATGTTATATAGTGTATACAACATGCAACACTATTCAGTTTACATAGCGTTGGATGTGCATCGTCGACTGGGGGTTGTCATAAGTCGTGTGTGTTGCTGATCTGGCCAGATATTCGTGGTTACGCATTGTGTTAATTAATCGTGTGGGTTGTACAATTGGGCTTGAGAGTCGTTTGTCGGCCAAGGGGACATGCGCCACTGGGCCGCGAAATGCCGAAGGGGCGGCGATGACGAAAGGGTCATATGGCGGTTGCGGCTCACTGACAGGGTACTAATTTGATGACGGGGGCCACGTGCTTTTGCCATTTGCGTACAGCCCCTCCTTGGGATTATTAGTTTGGAAGTTGGAAGTCGTGGGAAGCATCTCTCGGGGCCTCTTGGAATATGTTGATGTTTCTGGGAGGGCAGGGTCGTATTCATTGGGAGTTTCGTTCAAGGTTTTGGGTGCATGTTGGGATCTCTTGGTAGCCCAGGGGGGGCATCGTTGAGAGGAGGGTTCGGCCAATGTTTGGCTTTTCTCGTGTTTGCCCTATGGCATGTTTGGGCAGTCGCGGGGACTTCTTGGGTTGTTTCTGTTGAAGGGGGCGGGGGTAGGCTAGGGGATCAATCAGGTGGGCTGTCTTGTCATGGTATTGGGGGCATCTTGGGCCGTTTTGGAGCACTTCCGAGCATACGTCTTCAAGGCACGTAAGTCATTCAACGAATTGTGTTTGTCGGTCTCACCTTCGGCTCCTCATCCCTCTCAAGACTTGTCGGGTTATGGACTCAGGGACGACCCTCTCATGTTCGGGGGGGTCGATCGCAGTGAAAAACGTGTCGTAGAAATATGCGTGCAGACTGGCATTTATCTGCTGGAACACATAGTACCCGATCTGACGGAGCCAACCTACGGTGAGACTGCCGCGCTTTACCACACCATACTCACGGGTAGGCAACCATGCTGTGCCCAAAACCTATCCCCACACATCCGCAAGCACACACATTGACATGTACGTCGTTGACACGCGCCATAGTCTTATCCCCCCCCCATTTTCCAGGCCAGCCCCTTCTTACATCGTCTCGGGAAATGGGGTTCCTTTGCGAAACAGACCGATCATGAGCGCGTCGGCCACCGATGCCGCCAGAGTTGGCGGAACGATCGCGCCTCGGCTAGAACCGCGTCCTGGGAGCCCGGGGGGGGTGCACGGGAAGAACAAAGGCGATTCGATGAACCGACCTCTGCGTTTCAGAAATCATCAATCAAGCGACACGGCCAACATGTGAGGCCGTCCGCTCCATGAGGAGCAGGTCGTTCCACCGAATTCACCCCGACGTCTTCCGGGCGCACCGCCCGTCCCAAACAGAGTGAAGGGGCCGGGGTACAAGAGTTGTGCAAGGACGCCGTGGGGGGGGGGGGCCAGGTTGGTTTTTGAAATTGCGCCCTCGGGTCATAAAGGTGATTCTGACGGACTTGCCGCCTCTATTTCGGTGTCAGACTCTGATGAGCTCGAACGGTACAGCTCCTTGCCCCAGGGACCCACGCGGGGTCGAGCCCAACAGTTTCTGGAAGGGGTGAGGGCGATGAGCAGGGGGATGCGGGTCAGCAACAAACAACACACAACAAACAACAAACAACAAACAACATTGACAAACAACAAACAACCAACAACAGACAACAATCAACAAACAACAACAACAACAACAACAATAACAACAACACAACTACCACCAACAACAACAAAACCAACAACAACAACAACAACAACACCAACAACAACAACATCAATAATAACAACAGCAGCAACAGCAACCGCAACAACAGCAGCAATAACAACATCAACACATGCATAAAGGAACCCATGACCACAATCCCAAGACCAAGCATCCAGACAACCCAATTCTAAGATCCAAAAGGCTCGAGATGTCCTCGCAATGGCGGCCGGGTGGCGGATTTTAGTCTTACTGGCCGCCGACAGGCTTATCCGAGAGGGGCATTCTCCTAGGGGCAGATAGGATCATGCTGCTACTGCTGCTGCTGGTCCTCCTACTCCTCCTCCTCCTACTCCTCCTCCTCCTCCTCCTCCTCCTCCTCCTCCTCCTCCTCCTCCTCCTCCTCCTCCTCCACTCCTCCTCCTCCTCCCTCTTTTCCTCCTCCTCCTCCTCCTCCTCCTCCTCCTCCTCCTCCTCCTCCTGCTCCTCCTCCTCCTCCCACCGCCTCCTCCTCCTGCTTCTCCTCCTGCTGCTCCTCCTCCTCCTGCTCCCCCTCCTGCTCCTCCTCATCCTCCTCCTCGTCCATCCTATCTGTACCGGAGTGGTGCCCAACCTGCACCCTCCGTCAGACCCGTATTGGACTGTCCTGTATCGGGCCATTGGGATCCCTTGCCTTGTGGCCCGTTTACCTTTTGGCCAGGTTACTACCGCCCGAGAGCATGATGATGGTGATGATGATGGTGATGCTGACGATGGTGATGATGATGATGATGATGATGATGATGATGATGGTGGTGGTGGTGGTGGTGTTTTTTGGCACTGTGCGATGGTAAATCGCAGAGGAAAAAATAACTTCAACGTCTGTTGCGCTGCTGCGCGCTATATTGTCTGTCACAGTGTTGCTTCGTTCCATGGGTTTGCAAATTGACCCCAACTTCACTCATCCACACCCCTGCTTTAAAATATAATGCAACACTCGTGGCAACTGACCCCCCACGCAGCTTGCAGGCCTGGGCCCTAGCAGAAGAAGATTGCCCCTAGGCAATGACAAGGGCGGAGCCTGCCGGGATGTCCCCAGACAGAGTTAGGATCACAACCGGCTTCACTGGCATCAGCCCAGTTGTGTGCCACTTCATGGTCCACAACAGCTTTGTAGCGTGGGTGTCCCACTTCTTCGCCGGCACAAGCGCAGCCACGTTCGTCTGCGACGGCATGTTGGTCTGAGATTTGCCGTCCTCGCCGCCCTCGCCATCCAGATCTGCTGCCACATCCGGCGTGAAAACGATGTTGTGCTCGCGCGCGAGCGTGAACTCCTCGAGGTTGCCAGGTTTCGTGGTCAGCTGGTGGTAGCACACCTTCGCGTTGGCAGGGTTGTTGGAGCTCAGCTTCTGGTAGTAGAGGCTGCCAGCTGTGGTGATCTTGCCCTGGTAGATGCACTGGGACTCCGAAGAGTCTAACGAAAACAAAAGCGACGAGTCTTGATCCACCGAGTCATCTAAGTCTAGGCTCTGCACGGTCTTGAACTTGCCCCGGCCAAAATAGGCCAGCACACTTCCAGCTGTAATCTCCACCACCTTGTCGGTTTTGTTCATGATGGCCATCCTGTAGCCAGGCTTGATGGACAGCGAGACGTTGCCTGTCCCCTTCTTCGGCGCCAGGTTTGGCAGGACGACGGAAACCAAGTCGCCCCCATCCAAACTCTCCACAGGCACGATCTTATCTACCGGAATCTTCTGCTTCTTCAGCGGGGTAGATCCATCCATTACGCCAGACATTTTCTTGGTCGGCGTGTCCACCTGGTGATGAGAGGGTTCTGACACTGATTCGTCCATTATGGAGATCTGCCCGTCGAACTTCTCCACCACGTTGTCGATCTTGGTCTCGAACTCCTCGCCGTAGGTCGGGTGGGAGCCCCAAGTGTTGACGAGGTTCAAAGGGGCCTTGAAACCCACAACGGGGGACCCCGGAACGTTGGACTCCGCGTGATGCCACTCGAGCCTCTTCAACTGGGGGCAGACCGGTGGAGCGTCCAACTGCTCTCTCGGCGCATCCGACGAAACCTTTTTGAATCCTTGGATGACGAGCTTGTCGTTAGCGAACATATCCGCGATGGTGGACGTCTTGATTTGCTTGAACCAGTCCAGGTGGATGTCATTCTCGAAGAGGCCGAAGTAGTACAGCGTGAACGACTTGTCCTCCCGCAGCTCCAGAAACGCGTCGAAAAGGTCGCCCACGCCCACGCACGTATCCACGATGATGACCACATTGTTGGCCGAAATCGAAGAGCCCTCGAAGAGGC